TTTCCAAAGTCACTCTCTGCAACGGTTGAGCATATTCCGAGACTTCGCCTGATTCCTTTAAGGGTTTTTAGGATACTCCATGATGACCCTATTGCCCCAAACGGGCACTTCTGGCAGCGCAGGTGTTTCATTTGGCCAAATACAGTTGCCAAAAGGCAAATGCTCCCTGTCTAGACAGTTTGGAAGCCCTGACCAACCATTACATTGAGGTAGTTAGATGAAATTAGTGTACAATGTCATCTGACAAACAAGCTTAGCTTCCATACGAAAACTCTTTTTCTCTCCTTTCTCTCTCTGCCTCCCCCTCTATCCCTCTCTCCGTCCCTCCCTCCCTCCCTCCCTCGCTCAGGCTTTTGAACACGCGGTGAATGTTCAAAGAACTCAACGTATGTCCACGGAGGCGTAAGCGGTATTGACCTGCGCCCAAATCGGCTGAGTCGACCGGGCATCTGGAGGCCCCTCTAGAACGTCCACAATGAGAATGCATGGCCATCCAAATTAATCCGTGTGTGCCCTTGCCACATAAAAACAAAGTCATCGATGATCTTTTGCCTCAACTGAAGCACTATTTTGACTGGACGTCTAAGAGTAGCTTTAGACTTGTGTGTTACCTTGAGGTCCATTTCCCTGCGCCGTGCACTTTGAGGGTCTTACTAACTTCACCCATGGATCGTACTAGAAGAGTGTAGGCGTTTAACAAAAAGAACATGAGTCTGAGTCTGCCCTAAGGGCCTGGGGAAGTACAGGACACCCCTGCCATATTCATTTCAAAGTTGGGTTCACCATGTTTTGGATTAGATTCAGCTACTGGAAGGGAGTGGCCTATATAAACAATAAATAACTAGACTATAAACATATATATATATATAGTTATATAAATAAGAATAGATATACATATAACGGCAACCGACGCAAAGACCTGCATACATCATACTTTCCTCGGTATGATTATATTCACAAGGGAACTGCAATGGATTGCTCCTTTGTTAATGACAATGTGTCTGTCCAAAGTTTGGACCTAGGAAGGCCTTGAATACAACGTCAAAAGCGCAACAATATAAGACTACAAAGGCAACTAATCTAGTCAGTGGGGTAAGCGCAGGACCACTACAAAGGATCGAATTCTCAAACGTGTCAAACATTTCATTGAAACTTCCACTGGGCTTCCAAATTTTTGAGAATGAAGCAATCTTTTCTTTCACATGCTGCACATGAAAACTGAAAACATCTTGAAAGTCTGATTCTGCACCTATCCTTTGCAATCCTTGCGTACGGCTGGCATACACTTGAACTTCTCAATTTGGGCAGGGCGGAAGTCAAACCCATAGATACTTCACAAAGGAGACCTTTTGACCCTTTGAATCCCTTTGATAAAGATCATGATCGAAGGGTTCTCTAGGACTTTTGCGAAAGGCTTAAATTGCACCAGGTGTACATTGATTGGATTCTTTAGACCTCAAATGCATAACCTCTGAGGGGTAAATGCTTCTAAGTACAGAACCTTCGCTCAATATCGCCAAAATGTGGAGGCCAGAGGGGTTGCACAAACAGGTAAAGTCAAGCAAGAAACTCACCAAAGCCCCGTGGTTGTGCACATTCTTCGCCCTTGTGCATGGGGCCACAATCAGTATCCCTAATTTTTGACTTTTTCTAACCTCGTCCAAGGCCTGACATGCCTTTACCTTCATCAATTGGCACTACGTTATATACGTGGCATGAGCTCACAATTGCGTTTGTCACTGGCGCAGGTCCTTTTCTACCAGTCTGGATTGGCAATGGTCGCAAGAAAAATCATCCGTACACCTATGCTTCACCCAAGGTTCAAGCTTTTAAACTTTAATGTCAACCTAGGATTAGGGAACCCCCCCTATTAGTCTACCCAGCGTTCAGGCCCCAATAATAAACTAATTTGAACTACTAATTTCCACAATCACCACCCTCTAAATTTTTTTTCTTGGCTGAAACCCCCCCCTATTAGTCAACCCCCTGTCCTGCCCAGGAAAAATATAATTATTCAAATCTATATGTGTTTAATTAGTTTTATTCTTTTTTCCTTTTCAATATCTTTTGGTCCATGGTGAAACTGATCTTCTGATCCACTCTTTTCCCATCTCATCTCCTCCTCCTGTCATCATCAGGTCATCCCCACTATTAGGGGGATGTGATCTCCAAAACCTCCAATCTCAGACCTTGTTGACCTTGTTGACCTTCTAGGGGGGGGGGGGCCCGTTGATTAATCCGACGTTGATATTACCTAAGAAGCAATTGAAGCTTGATGCAGCAAGCTGACAAACTTCAAGCAGTTGCTCGGTATCTTCTAATTCGCTCCAGCAACCCTTGCTTCCACAAAAACCAACGAAAGCATAAGCAAGATTGTTTTGAGGCCAGTTTTGCCGTTGGTCATCGGTCTTTGTTGCAGCCCCCAAAGGGTTCCGGTGTGCGCGGGACGTGCGGGCCCCCATGGGTGAGAAAGTTCCAATTCACGTCCAGAATTGGAACCACACTTTCAACCACAGAATGTCTTGTCCGAATGGAACATTTGTCAAAACACTGCAGGCTCATATGACAGCAGCAGAGTCCTCCTCCTTGCCATCTAGATAAAATAGTTCCATCATATTTATTTTGTTTCTTCAATTCCTGCGCAATGCAAGTAACGACTTGGACGTTCCTGCTGTACCAAGTCCATAGACTAGTGTGCCCACAATAGTTGGTAATTTGGATCCCTTCGAAGCATTTCGCACTCGCTACTGGCCCATTTGGTTTCTAAAACTGTTTGTCCGTGGTTGGTTGAATTTATGCTTGCTTTGTGGTGCATTGCGGAGAACTCAGTATACGCTTCATTTATCTTTAGTCTTTTGGTTGCTGTAATTCATTGCACCCTGTGCCAGTTACACGCTGAAGAGCTGTTGGGTGGTTTCAGGAGTCCTCGCAAATAGTAATGGTGGGTCAACCAAGGTCTCCAAGTTTTCACAGCCGATATTTGCAGAGCAGCCTTTGAAGAAGTACTTACTCTGATCGAGCCGTCAAAACTTGTGCATTTGCGGTGAGAATTGTCTCTGCGCAATGCCTCTTGAACCCTTTTCTATCCATTTCTCTTCTGCGTCATGTGTACTGCTGGCTTGGCATCCGAATCAGTGCAGGCTTTCGGGACACAAGGTCCTCATTGAAGAATGAAAGAACAAACAGCTCCGAGAACGTTCTGCTGGCACGTTGCTGGCCGCAAAGGAACCATGGACGTGGGCTGGATGTGTTGCGAAAAGTAACTGTAAAGGTTGCGTCAGAATGATTTATCAGGTAGCGGTAGCAACAATTCACATTTCTATACCACAACGGATTGGGAACAAGTCAAGGCGACCTCCTGCAAAGCACAAACGCTGCAAGTATCTGCAGCTGAAGGTTGACCGCTTTTGGTGCTGACTTTGGAATCTGACCACGCACACAAATGTCTTGAGATTGAACAGAACACACACTGAGACTAACCCTGAGCCAAAAAGTCTTTCGTTCCACCTGTTGATCGCTGTTGAATGCGTCTTTGGGATCACCTTCTCTGGACAGGCGCAGGCCAGCCACCAAAACACGAGCTTAGCAGCGGACAAAAGAAGATTCAGGGTGATTCAGGGTTGATGCATCTTTCCCACATACCAAAACAATGGAATGTGTGCCCGAAGTGCCTCAATGTCGGTGAAGATGACCCTATGCAGCTTCTCCTCAAAGGACCAGCTGAAATCGACCCACGCCCACGCCAGCCCAACTTTACAAACAAGTGCAAGCACATGCAAAAACCTAGTGATAATCACAAAACAATCGGCTAATATGGAGTGACGAAATGATCTTGCATTACCAAATGGCGGCTTAGGATCTAAAGGATGAGCGACAACAACAATGCTTAGGGGGCATAGAGGGAGCATACAGGGAGGCAAAAAAAATAGCAGAATGAACCTCTGCAGGAAAAAGTAGCAGGAAGGAGAACATGAACACAAACAAAAACGGCGGCGAGAATGACCACGACAATGACTGCAAGCACAACAAAAAAAAGAAGGGCCTGCTTCGAGGATGCTTCACATCCGGGTGACTCCTGATGGTGGGACGCATTACTGGCAAAACGAGCACTTCGCAACATCCAAAAGGCATGGTCCGCCCAGTTTGCGTAGGCACTGGTACATATACTGTATAATGCAACGCCAGAACAACCATCAACATGATACTGTATTTGTAACCTCAGAATAGCAAGTGGGTTGATGAGTCAAAGCGACGGACGAAGGTGAAAAAATGAGAGGAAACAATAGGAAATTGCATTGAGGTGGGTATATAAACATAGTGCGAACCACGGGCCTTGGCAGGCTTGAACTAGAACTGCTGCACACTGAGAAGTGACATGCTCTTTCAGTTTGAAGTTTTGAGTTGGATATCACCTATACTTTGTCCTCTGACCACCGGTACGTATACAGGTGCATTTATGCATATTTTTCATTGTTTCTAGAAGTCAGGGTAAGTAAGGGAGAAAAACATTCGCGTGCGTGGCTCTTGCCTCCAGGCACTTTGAGCATCATTCGCGGTAGGCAAGACTACCTGGCACGCATGAAGGGATACCTGATACCAGTACAAAAAAAGAAAAACTGCAACGGCATCCATGCAGCGCAAATAATCTTTCCTCTGCTTTGATCTGGCGGCTGCCCCTCGCGCGCTTGGCGCTGCCAGCACAGCCAAATCAGCCTTTCTGATTTCTGAGTCCTATGTCTGATGCAACGCGGCAATTTGAGTGCTCAAAAAGCTCCCTCGCCAGCTTCGAATTGTGGAAGATGCCGCCCATTGAGATGGCCACGGAATTCACCGGGCCAGTCAATGCCTGTACCTAGCACCGCCTTCAAAGTGGACCGGAGTGGCCCGTGACTGAGAGCCTTCTCACAGAAAAATGCGACCTTCCTGCCACGAGTGCCTATTCCACTCGAGGGCATATCAAAGCACACAAGTTCACGAACAGAATTGGCGAAGTAAATCATGCCAAATAGAGATTGCGGTCAACGTCTACTGAATGTGGGCCGGTGCGTTTTTCTGCGAAAGGCACCAATCTTCAAAAGAGCGTCTCTGGAATCAGAGCTGCCGACATCAGGTAAAATGAATTCTGCGATGCGGTGGGTCCAGCCCCCAAAAGCTTTTGCTTAAATAAGGGGACTGCTGAAAGCTGTACTCGTTGCCGGGCCACTTCTAACTCGAAAGGCGAGGATCAAACGACCAAAACCTCCGCAAAGCAATGCGTGCATACCTGATGGCCAGGGACTCCAGGGAGCATGATTGAGTACGATTTTTGCTAACTGCCAATGCTTCCGCCGAATTTAACTGTAGTGCATTCGTGACCATCCCTCCTGTCAAAGTCCCTTCCCAT